CCCCCCATAGGCTACTCACAACAGTCCTCGAAACGACCTCCAACTTAGTTTCTTGTAGACATACAAGGTCAGCTCTCCATCCCCTTAATAGATTTCAAATTTCCAGTTTTTTCTTAGCTTCATTAAGCCCCGTCACATTTCAACTAATAATTTTCGGAGTCATCTAAACATTTCATCATCCCTCCCCATCAGACCTCTTCTTGACTCGCCACCCTTGACATCATAATTAACCGAACATTCAAGACGCTTTAGCTCACGATCACCCTTTTTTCTTGTCTTACCTCACAATGTACCCATCCCCTACTAGCCTCCAATTCCTCAAATAATTGCAAAAGTCTGTTTTCATACCCATCACATGACACACCAACCATCTTACTAAAATCTAGAATTTTTTGAAGAACCCAATTTGACGGTCGAGGTTAGACGTCAAGTGTACTAACTTTGGCCATCTCCCCAACATAAGTAGGGTTAATGTAATGTCCCTCCTCTTCCTCCTCCCGTACAACATCACTGTCTGTGTCCCCCTTCTCAGTTCCACCAATCTACACCACCAACGTAGTGTCATTCCTTAAATCCCCTTCTTTCGGAGACTTAGAACATCTCCTACAACAGGTATTCCTTACCATAGGTGTTGAGCCTATCTTACCTTGCTGTTTCTCAATCGCCGTATTTGATCCTTAAACTAACGCGCCTTCATTCGAAAAACAATTAGTCGCCTCCAAAATCTCCGCGTCCAGATTCGTAGTATCCAACTCCCCTACTTTAGCCCAAAGTTCTGCCTCTCGATGTGCCTCTATCATTGAATCAATTTCATCCCTGTTTGTTCCCCCTGTCTTCATCTTATTTCCATTACCAGAGGAAATTACCACTTCAGTCCACGTTTGTGACTCGCCTCTAGGCTTATCCCCCAACTGCATATCTTTAGTTTGGGCCCTTATTGATGCGAGCTCCTTAGAATCCATCTCCACTACATATTTTTCATTGTCTAGAGGCTTATTTAATCCCTTCCTACACTTATGGAAATAAGTGTTCCTGGAATCCATTGTAGACCCACTATCCACAACTTTGATCAATTAATCCAATTTCCCTTTCAACGCCTGTATGCAAGCCCTTAATATTGCATTAGGATCACTCCTCTCATTATCCGCTCTTCCTTTATTCAACAACACCCTCGCTGATAGGCATTTTGTGGCTCCCATACGTTCGCCGTAATATCGGCACAAGTCATCCCAAATCGGCTCCTTTCTTTAGCTGTTCGACGCTTGGCCTTATCTCCGGCAACAAAAGAATCAACAACTGCCTGAAACACGCGTAAAGTTGATGCCCACCCCTCTTCGTTTGCTCCTTTCGGCACCATCACGACTCCCTTCCAATGCCTCTCCCCATACTGTGCTATCATCTAAAACCTACAATGACTGTTGGCACAACGTTGTGCCAGGAAGGTTCGAGAAGACTCATCAAACTTGGCGACGAATTCCACCGCCTTACCAGCCACTTGCAACTTATCCATCATATTCACCATCTAAACTGTACCAAATCGGCCCATGCAAATAGCGTCCAATATCTTCAATCCCCATTCTGAAAACTTCACAATACCTGAGTCAGTAACAGATACTACAAACTCCTTTGCCTCAACTGTAAAACGTGAACTAAAAATCTTAAGACTCGCAGCATAAGTCTGTCTCCCATGATTTCCTGTGAACGAGCCCACTGATGATGAAACCAATGGTCTGGAAAGCCTCGTTGCAGCGGGGAGATCCTGTGAGTTTTCTGGCGGAGGTGCGTGGGCCCCATGCAGGGGCAGATCAGTGCGTTCACCACGCGCCTGTCCCGAGTAGCCTCTTCTCCTTTCTCGGCTGGTAGTTAAATACGGGGGTCTTTCGCCTTGCCTTTCGCAGAGTGTGAAATTCCGAGCTCATCTTAGCTCCTAGGGACTTTGCTTCCCTCTTAGAGTAGCTTCCCCCTTTTTAACATCGAAATCAAAGCAAATTATTGTAAGCCCGTCGGACAGGCGCGTGTGGCTGGGCAGTGGTCGGAAGTGTCTGAATCGGAATTTGGGTTGCGATTAAGCTGTGGGTTGTGGTGCTAGGGTTTCCAGAAGATTGGCTGATGTTTTGTAGCGTGGGGCCGGTAGGGTTGGGTCGTCTGAGGAGGGTCTGGTGACCGGTGGCTTGGCTGGTTGGGTTGGGTGGCTGTGTTTGGGTGATGGGTGCAGTGACGTCATTGTAGGGTTTCTCCCACACACATCTCAATATGTCTGTATATATTTATAGTGGATTCATTGGGCTACTGATGACATAAAAGGAATTCGTAGGAAACCATATCAAGTTATTAGCATTGCAAAGGTTTGCATTTTATGCATTGTAGGTTTTACTTTCACTTTTGTAATTGAAAACTGGTTTTTTGGCATTATTAGTTTGCTGGCAGGAATAATGGAACTTGTGATGACGTGGTTTTGTAGCTGCTGCCTATATATGATCTTTTGTGTATTTTCTTGACTTGGTTGAGTATGAAGTTAGAGAGTAGGTTCGTTTAATAATGTAGAGAGCTTGTGGGATGGGAAAATAGATGTTCTTATGATAAATAGAAGAACTTACTCATCAAATTTATTTTTTTTCTATTTTCCAACCCCGACTTTTCGTCACATTTTTATAATTTAAGGGAAGGTTTTGACAATAATCGGAAACAGGTTCTTTTGGTTGGTGATGTGGTAATAGTTACTTCTACGAAATTATAAAGGGTTGTTCAAAAGGGTCCATGGCTAAAAATGAATCTTGAAATAAATTAAGTAAAATTGTATCTGTGTCTATATTTGTTTCATTATCAGTGTCGAAAATATTTTCAAATGAAGTGTGTGAAATTTGATGAGTGTTTAATTGTGATTCTTTCCATGTTAGCTGGGAAAGAATTGGAAAATAATTTTTTTATATGCTAACTGATTATCGCACCATTCTGCTGTTAATGTATCCAGAGTTCCCACTGTGAATAAAAGTGAGAAAGGAGAGCCTAAATATATTGCGGAGTTTCCTCAAGTATTACGTGATGCACAAGCTATGTTATTACAGAATCATGCTCCCGGTTGGTCCTGTCAATTCATCCCAGACTTTACATTCATTTTTCTTCTTCTTGTATGAAGGGTTTAATGTTTTTGTTCTTCTGGTAGGTGATGCATCTATCTCTGGTGGAATTGACAAGGAAACATCTCTGGCATGGATTATCTGTGGAAACAGACTATTTATCTGGAATTACTTATCTCCTGCCACTTCAAGAACATGTGTCGTCCTTGATGTTCCTTCAATTACATCAGAAAATGGAGATATAGGCAAAAGAATTTCTCGGTCTAATAATTGGTTAGTCTGTGTTGTCAATTGGGATAGCTCAAAGAGGAGAGCAGGAAAATTCATTCAACAGGGCAATTCTGTTGGGATTGTATTGTGTAATAAAAAAACTCGAGCTCTTATGTACTGGCCAGATATCTATAGTGAAACCCAGAACAAGCCCCTGACTAGTTTTGTTTCTGTTGAGGAGTCAGAAGGGTCTTACTTTCCTAGCGATGGAAAATCCGTCTCTAGCAACCAACAGCAACAGGGAAAACTTGATATCAGTTCGGCTAGATCAAGTTCTATTAACTCTATGCTTGCTGCTTCTATCCCTGCTAACCGCTATGACTGCATTGCTATTGCAAGTAGTTCTAGTGGTGAACTTTGGCAGTTTTTCTGCAGCCCTTCTGGGATTCAATGTAACCAGATTTGTGTTGGCATGTTGAACATATCCTCTCAAAGCAGTGACAGTAGCCCATTTGTTGGAAGCAAGGGGTATCCGAGGTCATTGATTTGGCATTCTTACTGTCATTCTTCAGACGAGCCCAAAAGACAGTTTCTTTTACTAACAGATCATGAGATTCAATGCTTTGAAATAAAACTCTCTCATGATTTTGATGTGTCAAAGCTCTGGTCTCACCAGATAATTGGAACTGATGGTGATTTGGGTATCCAGAAAGATCTGGCAGGCCAAAAGCGAATTTGGCCTCTTGAGTTGCAAGTTGATAGTGATGGCAAGGTAATAACTATTCTTATTGCTATATTTTGCAAGGACAGGGCCACCAGTTCAAGCTACACTGAGTATTCGCTTCTGACCATGCAATATAAATCTGGAGTGGATATCACTAAGCCAATAGGTGAAAGAATATTGGAGAAAAAGGCTCCTAACCAAGTGATAATACCTAAAGCAAGAGTAGAAGATGAGGAATTTTTGTTCTCCATGAGATTAAAGGTAGGAGGAAAGCCAGCTGGTTCTGCCATTATACTCTCTGGTGATGGTACTGCAACTGTCTCACATTATTGGAGAAACTCCACTCGGCTTTATCAGTTTGATCTTCCTTATGATGCTGGAAAAGTTCTTGATGCTTCAGTGCTCTCATCTTTGGAGGATAGTGAAGATGGAGCTTGGGCCATCCTCACAGAGAAAGCTGGAGTTTGGGCTATTCCTGAGAGTGCTATTTTACTAGGTGGGGTTGAACCACCTGAGCGAAGCTTATCACGTAAAGGGAGTTCAAATGATCGATCGGTACTAGAGGAGAGACGAAACTTGTCTTCGGCTGGGAACATTGCTCCCAGAAGAGCTAGTTCAGAAGCATGGGATGTTGGTGATAGGCAAAGGGCAGGCTTAACTGGAATTGCACATCGGAGCCCTCAAGATGAGGAATCAGAAGCGTTATTAAGTCAGCTTTTCCATGATTTTCTCTCGTCTGGGCAGGTTGATGGTGTCCTTGACAAACTAAAAAATTCAAGGGCATTTGAAAGAGAAGGGGAAATTAATGTGTTTACAAGGACAAGCAAATCAATTGTTGACACCTTAGCTAAACATTGGACAACAACCAGGGGTCCTGAGATAATCTCTTTGTCTGTTGTGTCCACACAGCTTGTAGAGAAACAACAGAGGCATCAACAGTATCTCCAGTTTCTTGCTTTATCCAAGTGCCATGAAGAATTGTGTTCAAGACAGAGTATGATCAATTTGACCATCTGATAAACTGTTAGTTAAATTTTTGTGATGTACAGTTTTCGGAAAATTTTATGCTTGTTAATCTGGAAACTTATGGTTAAGTTGTTTTGGTGTAATTAATCTCGACACTTAATGATATTCCTTCTGTTGCTGTTGTGTGCTTTTTGTAGATCACAAAACAAGTTTTTGTTTAACCTTGTTATATGACCTTATGCTTTACTTGATCCAGTAGCAAGTTTTAAACAACACACTGGCTTATCTCTTTTCAATTCAGTTGTAAAATTTTTTGAGATGCTTCTCAATGCTCCCATTCTCAGTAAATACAGCTGCCATTCCTTTTTCTTTTTTATACTAGGATTTCCTAATAAATAAACCCATCAAATTTAAAATTTTGCTTTCTTCTATCAGGACAATCTGTGCAAATCATCATGGAACACGGGGAAAAGCTTGCTGGCATGATCCAAGTGAGGGAACTACAACATATAATGAGCCAATCCAATGTAACTGGAATTGACGCTTATTCTGGTTCATATGCTCAAATATCTGGTGCTCTTTGGGATCTAATCCAGTTAGTTGGTGAGAGAGCTCGCCGGAACACAGTCCTTTTAATGGATAGGGACAATGCTGAAGTATTCTATAGTAAGGTTTCAGATATTGAGGAATTATTTTACTGCTTAGAGAGACAGCTGGAATACCTCATTAGTGGAGAGATGCCAATTACGATTCAATTTCGAAGAGCCTGTGAAATCTCAAATGCATGTGTGACTTTATTCAATGCTTCCATGCAATACAGGAGTGAACATCACTTCTGGTATCCTCCTGCAGAGGGCTTAACGCCGTGGTATTCAAAAACTGTGGTATTGGGTGGGCTGTGGAGTGTTGCATCATTCATGCTTCAGCTGTTAAATGAAACGAATCATCTTGACGATTCTGCTAAGTTGGACTTCTGTTCGCATCTAGAAGCACTCTCAGAAGTATTACTAGAGGCATATTCTAATGCTATCACAGCCAAAATTGACCGGAAAGAAGAACACAGGAGTCTGTTGGTGGAATACTGGAAGCGGAGAGATGCACTTCTTGACTCCCTTTATCAGCAAGTGAAAACGTTTATGGAAGTCGAACTCCAGGTTAGTTTTTCTGATTAATTTGTTGCTATGTGATATTGATAGAAGCATAATATGAGTATTAAATGCATGAAAATGTTATGGCCTGTAATACTAAAATTTTCATTCATGGACTTGGCAATCTTATTGTTTGGAAATCTATTTCCTCTTCTGACTTGTAGTTGGGTAGTAATCCTTTCCATTTCCTAAAACTGAAGACATTCTAATGTTTTTGTTCTTCTTGAGGGTATAACTACAATTCTAATGACTGATTTACGATACTGCGTCCACTATAAGGGGAACTTGATTTTTGTTAATTAATCATAATAATAAATTCTTTGTTGAACTATAACTAATTTTTGTACTAAAGATTTTTCCTAGATGATTGTATTTCATCAAATAAATTCTTTTTCAAAGCAGGACTATTAAGGTCCTCTTTTTTAGCAGGGTGAATTGGTGTTATTTCTGTTGTTATTGCTCTAAGGTATGATTACAACTTGGCTGGACCGACCTTCTTATAGTAGAACTTGTGTACTGTGTCCAATTTGCTCGTTAGACTGGAGGGAGAATAATCCTGGCCTGTGCCAGTAGAAATAGGACCCTTAAAAGAGTTCATTTCTGCGACAAGGGAAATTTTTTTTTGATAGTCAATATCATGTTGACAGAAGGAAAGGGAGAAGATATAAAATAGAATAATGCTATTTATCATTATGATGATGAAACATCGATGATGTAACAGTCTATGTGGAATAATATGATTAGTGAGTTCAATTTTTTATGAGAGAAGGGGGGAGAAGAGAAATGTATGGAGTAATGAATTGTCATATTACTGATGTTTCATCATCAAGATGATAACTAACGTTACTCTATATAATATAGGTTTCGTTATGTTTACCATGTATAAATACATGAAATGGAAATTATTAAACAACTACACAATCCCTAAAAGTACTCCATAATGAACTCCCTATCAAATATACACAATATTTTTTTTTTTTGATAAATAATCAGAAAATTATATTAATAAAAGAATACACAAGAAGTGTATCATCAGTTTAAACAAGAAAGAAACGGTATGAAGTTAGGTAGCCCATCTATAGGATTACTAGTCGCTGCATTAAATCAAGTATACAAAGTCAGATAACATAATTCTCTAAATTGCTCTGTGGTCTGTATTTGGTCTTCAAAATATCGCTTGTTCCTTTCCCTCCACACACACACCATACAATGCATCTCGAGATAAGATTCCAAACTAGCTTGCTATTCTTATCACGAAATTTCCTACTCCATGCCCGCAACACATCCTCCATACGTCTAGGTAACACCTAATCTATATGTTGAGAAGCCAGAATACTATTCCACAGCCAACGGACACCGTCACAGTGAATGAACAGGTGGTCATGTGTCTCCCCATCGCTCCTACACATATAGCACCATTCGGTAACATAAAAACTTTTTTTCCGGAGAATATCCATCGTTAATGACTGTCTCCTCACAATCGTCCACAGTAAAAATGCCACCCGTGGGGGAAATTTGCAATGCCGCACCATCTTCCAGAGGAATGAACTCTCCACAGGTTCCAAAAGAGATCTAAAATAAGAGCGAACTGAGAAAATACCATTCGGTGCCAGCCTCCATCGGCTATGATCATCCTCTCATACCCGAATTTGCACCTCATACAAATCCGTTAGAAACAATGCATAGTCATCCAATTCCCAATCTTGCAAACCCCACCGAAAAGTGATATTCCAATTGTAACTCCCATTGTTGAGGGCTAAAACGTCATTCACCATAGCAGAGGGCATCATAGTAATGATATGCAGGGAAGGAAACCCCAACTTTAGCGGTATATCCCCNTTATCTTTATTTCCTTCTACAGTTATTTGTAACCCTATAAATATGGTCTTCTACATTGCAATATTAACAAGACCATAATAATACAATTTATAAATCTTGGCATGGTATCAGAGCTGTTACGATCTTAAACACATTAATCTTGAATTTCGTTCCCGGCGAGCGGCCTTGAGCCGCTCGTCCGGCTAGCAATTTTGTTTCTTTTTTTTTTTTGTTCTTTTCGGATCTGAATTCTTGTAGTGAGAAGCAACGTAGAGAGCCATCATTCTCTGCAAAAAAATTAATGAATCTGTGCCTTCAAAATCAAGTGTTATCATAGAATCAGAAACTGGTTTTTCCTTTGCTTCTTCCCAGATTTTATACGTTTGAAGGCACAAATATCATTCCCATCACCAGAATCGGCTACAAGTGGATGCATAATCTTCTGGATTCGAAGCTTGGAAGCTTTTATCTTTTCTTTCCTCCTTGCAGAAGCTAAGCATCCCCTATCAAAAGATGGTGGTGAAGCATCCAATCCTACATCTTTCTCAAATACTTGCTTCAACAAAAGCTTTTTACTCAAATCTGATTTGCCCTTCCACCAGTCTGTACATGCATGAAGGTCAAAACTTCTTGCCCTCTTCCTTTTGTTATCCTTGGACCTTTCTGATGTAGCCTTGAGTAGAGGAACCTCATCCAAGAACTTAGAATAAATCATGGTCAAACATTCTGGAGAAATCTGGAATTTATCTGGATAATCAATTCTCAAAGGTGACTGATGATTTACCTCAAAATACTGCACGGAGCAATTTTCAGTTGTATCCAGTGCAATTAAACACAAAGTTAAGCAGGATCTGGTTAAGTTGGTAATGAGTGACGTTGAGAAGAAAAAAAAAAACTGAGTGCAGCCGTGCAGATTTGGAGGCCTTATTGGAAGAAATAGAGCTGTTTGAATGGAAGTCAAGTGAGTGAGGGTGAGATTGCTGGGTATTTATTTGTTGGGTAGGTTTAATTTGTGATGAGATTAATTGGGCTTGGGTTGTAGTATTAGCTGGGAATGAAAGGTTAATGGGCTTGCAATGGGTAATGGTCCTGTTGGTGACATTGTAATTTGGCAGAAGGTTGAGTTTGAATATTTAGTCTATTGGGCTTGTTATATTAGGTTTGATATTTAGTGTGGGCTGCTTTTGAGTGGTAACTTGTTTTGGTTGCATTATTTGGGTTTAAGTAATTGGACCAACTTATGGGTTGGTGTTTGATGGGTGTATTTTGCGATAATGGGCCTGTGCATTGGTTTGTTAATTAAAGTGGGCTGTAGTGTTTTAATTCTTTTGAAGTGGGCCTATTGATGTGGGCCACTGAAGTAATTGGGCAGTGTTTTATTTTATTAATTGGGCCTGCTGGAATTATTGAGCAAGTTAGCGGGCTGTTGGATTGGACCAATTATTTAATTGATCTGATTTAATTGTGGTTTGTTTTTCATGGGCTGTTGGAGGTTGAGTTGAAGTCCTCAATCTCGCTCTTCAATCATGAGGTCC